CATAAGGAACCATGTGATTACATTGGACCCCTCCGGATAATCCAGGATAACCTCCCCATTGCAAGGTCTTTAATTTAATCAATCCACAAAGTTTCTTTTGCCATGTAAGGCAGTATATTCATAGGTTCTGGAGATTAAGGTGTGGACATCTTTGGGGGCCAATTATTCTGTCAACCACACCAGGTCACTTCCGTACCTCCATAGCGCTTTCTGCATAATTTTTCCAGCCTTCGTAATACTTCAAATTACTTGTTCAACTGACTAATTTCCCAGTTTCGTTGTGAGTCTGTTGAGGGGGGACCATCATCTCTCTTGTTCACCATTCTGCTTGCAGTTCTTAGGACAGTGCTTAGAGTAAGCACCCAATACATCTGTATTAACTGACTGCTTGAATGAATATGAATGAATGAATGAATGAATGAATGAGATGCTCAATAGTGTGTGCACATGTTTTCCAAAGATAGTATTGTGGTTTGTCCTAAATATTTCTTATTTCCTTGTTTTCTTGGGAAATTAGAGATGTAAACCTGCTTCTGAATAGTTAATTGATATCAACAGAAAATGCCTTCTTTTAAAAAATTATGAGTGACTCACAGACTATCAAGAACCTTTTGAAGTATATGAAAAGCACTCCTAAATTATGCAACTTTGAATTCTTTTTAATTAAAGGAGTTAATGAATATTCTACAGGAAAGAGCTGCCTTCCACAGTCTGGAGTTAATTGCCCACCCACACCTGATGGTTAATTTCTTTCTGAAATGTTGTTTTTTGTAGATAAAGCCCATCATTTACCACATCCCACTGGGTATAGATTAGTTGTCTCCTTTGCATATGCTCCAAGCTTACCTCTTTTTGCTTTTTTGCTTTTTGCTTAAGGCAGGATATTAGCTCTGCATTCACTTGACTCTTTTCTATGAAGATGTGATTTTTATTGCTCTGGTTGATTTACTTAGAAGCTTAGAACACAAGGTTATAGCCATAAAATTAGTACAGGGACAGAACTGAGAGGATACTGGATAAAAGAAAACTTCAGTTATTTTGGGGAAGATTTCAGAAATGTCCGTTGTATTTAAATTTTTATTTGAATGAATTGGTAAGTTTACCATTAAGGATGTCTTTTTTATTCATAAAAGACATTCGTGAATTGCTTCTATTAAAATAGCTTACTTAAGTTGTTATCCACAACTACAAGGCCAAATTCTTCTGTTTTGGTTTTTTAAATTTTGTTTTGTTTTGGATAATCTGAAAATAAGCACATATTTTGATTAAAGGAACAGGAAAGAGGAAACTCTGATGTAAATATGAAGGACAAAGCAAGCACACTCGGAAACAATGGACAGGGGATTTTTGTATCACTTCTGATAAAACGCAAACATTTTCATAGTTACAAATCTATCACCACTTAAATTATGAAATAATTACGAGACAATATGGAGAATGTCAAGTATAATTTATAAGTGAAATAAATGTGATAGGATAGAAAAGAAAAAAAAAACTTGTTTCTTAAAGAATTTTCTGTACCTTTTTACCACCATTTTCTAGTTATTTAGATCCAGTGATCAATCTCTCCAAATAACGTATCCATAGATTAAGTTCAGATTGACAAATAAGTTTCTTATGAACTAGTAGTGGCTCCCTGAAGCACTGGGTTGATAAAAATTCTAAGGTTTTCTTTGACCTGAGTGGAAAAAAGCACCATGATTGATTAGCCATGTGTGTCTGGCTAAGAAATGGGGGTGATAGAACTCATGCTGTGTAGTTTAGTTACAGATAATAACTTATGTAGCTTCTTTCAGGAAAAGCAAAGCACTGACGTTTTCTAAATAAAACAATTGCTAATATTTTGTCAGATTACAGTTTCCTTTTACCAAGCCTCTCATGTAGATATTACCAGTGACAATTATGTTTTCTAGTAAATAAAGAATAGACATAAAGATCTCAGGAAAATACATAATTTCTTTAACTTTTAATTTTGGGGCATTAAATATTAATATTAAGTTTTTCTACATAAATTTTTGGACAAAAAATTTTAGATTGTAGCTTATTTTGAAATATGTACTGTATTATAAAAAGCATATGTCATTTGTAAGAACAGCTCTGTATAAGCATATGGAAAAAAAGGACTTTACTAATTTAGATATCAAATTGTATCATCACTGTCATTTTGAGATCCTTGCTAAAGACGTCAGTGGTTTAAGTCATTTATTTAATCAAAGCCATTGGATTTTTTTTTTAATTACTGGTTGATTATTTTCTTTATATTTAACAAGAATATTCACCTTTAAGTAGTGATGTGCTGGTAAATCTTTAACACAACTCAGAGTAGAGAATATGGCATGGAGTGGTAGAGAAGCACTCACTGATTTGTAGCATTTATCCATTTCCATGGTGTAAATATTTCTACTGTGACTGATTCCAAGATGTCAACAGAGCTGGCAGAGCTGGCTCTAACCCGCTACCGCCTTTAAAGAAATCAGATAAATTTTATTTTCTGAAACAGATATGTTCAAAAGTATCCATATGGGAACCCTTCAAATATTGAACTCCATGGTACATTGCAAACATAAGTCTTACTAAAACTTTTTATATCTAACTTTGTAAGAAAATACCTAATCCATTATATATATATTTCGTATATATATCATATGAATTATTGAACTTTTCTAAGAAAGCTTTATCTGATATTTAATTGTTAGAGATTTTTCTACTCTGAAAATTCAATATAATGTTTCCAATTGGATGAAAATATACTTATAAATCATAAAATATATGTAAGGAAATACATGTCACAGATTAAATAATGAGCCAAAGGTCTTAGCAACTCTTTTAATGTTAATCTAGTAATTCTGTCTCTATAACTCTAAGCAAAGTGGAACAAAAGTATCTATAAACTAATTAATATACTGCCAACCTGTGTGTGTGTGTATTTATGAGACTAGGCAATAGAAGGAATAAATACCAATCAACATTCCACTGTTTATCTTTGCTTAGAATACATATTTTTCTTTTTCCTGTGATCTTAATCCCCTCCTATCTCTGAGAATGAGCAGGGGCACATTATATCCAAGGATATAAATAGTAGCCCTTGCATAGTAGAGGTAGGTTCTGTGTTTAATTAGGCAAATAGTGAGTGATAATGATTACTACTGAGTAGTCAGTGGATGAGCTACGTTGTGGTGATTTTCCATTTTGTTTGAGTTTCTAATTTACCATTTTAGGCCAATGGTAGCATAGCCTGAATCTGTACTTACTGCTTAGCCCTGCTTCCCATGGGAGAAACAAGGAAAGAGAAGGCACTACTGGAGTACCTGGCATGCTGCAGATCCTCGATAAGTTTTGGTTGAACGGGAGCAGGAGGAGTTTGAGATCTCAAATTATCATTAGTGTTCAATTAAAGCCATCCATATGATTGGAATGCTTACATTTCCATATCATTTCTACTTTTTGGAATTGTATATATCCTTCAAGATTTTTGCATGAAGACTTCCCTGATCACTCCAAAAGACTTCTCCTTAAAAATTCCCATTCTTTTTCGGTTTTAATCATATGTTATTTATGTAACAATCCTATCCTTGCACTCAAGGATAAGCTCCTAGAAGAAAAGAATAGGATCTTACTCACATTTGTATCATTCGCTACATTTCAAAAAATTTCTTGAGTACAATACATGCTCTATAGTTATCATTTCAATTAATAAATATGAGTATAGATGTAAAGGTGAAACTTGGAAACAAATCCTATACCTGAATACTACTTTTCAAATACATTAAAAATTACTTTGTAGCATTTCTTCTTTTCCTAACAGTTACTGCTATATATAAATGTTCAGTATTGATTCTGTATTTTCTGCTCACCTGTTTTTACCTCTATGCAGCAGTTTTTAAAAAATACACAATTTCCCTTGTACTTCCCTTCAATGCTAATTGAGAAACAACCATATTCCCACTTTTCTGCAGCCACTCTAGGGGAAAACCGTGGACATTTTAAATGGCAAATCTATTCCAATTAAGAATTTGTTTTTTCAGAGAATTTCATAATAATTAATGAATTGGAGTTTATTTGATAGACTTTGCCTTGTAATGGTGAGGGAATCTTAGCCTATGTGGTCTGTTCTGAGAGCCACATCATTCCTTAGAGGGACTTTGGGTGTGGCCTGTCACTGTTTAGAAATATGTCATTTCACATGAGGAAACTGTGGCACTGTGGACATGGGTGAAAAAGAGGTCGTGAACTCCTAAGTAAAAAAAAAAAATTTTTTTTTCCCATCAAATGCATTCAAGGAAATTCAAGAAAACTCAATTTCCAATTCAAGGAAAACTCAGACACTTTTGGAATTTTTTCCTCCTTTTTTTTTTTTTGAGTAAATACTAAGTCAACAACGCATGTACCCCCTTTCTTATTCAGAGGCAGATTTACCATGAACCAAATGAAGCTTAATTTTTAGGGCCTCTCACATAGACCCCTTCCAACACGAAGGGACAAGCTCCAGCAAGGAATCTTTTCCTTCAAGCGTGACTCCAAAACTATATGAGCTTCAGGCACGACAACACGGGGCTCTACCTCTGGGCACACCCTTGAAGGAAACTGATATTGTGGAGAGAAGTCCATTGAGAAGGTCTAGAGGCCTCGATTCTAGTCTGTGTTTGGTGCTAATTTGCCAGGTATCCTTTCAAAATCTTCTGTACTTGCTGAGCTTCCCTTTGTCTCTCTGTGAAATGATACTGGTAATTAACCTATCTATCTCATATTCCTCTCTGTTATGTTATTTTGATTATTCAAATGTTATTTCAGATAATTATGTAATAATAAATAACATTTGAATAATCAAAAATCAAAGAGTTCAGAAATAATTGGTAATTAACTGAAAAGTATAAAAATTAAAAATTGTATGAAGTTAATCTTACTAAACATGAGGCCGCTGTTATCTTCCCACCATTCAACAAAATCAGCAGCGGAAATCTCTAAGAATTCTCCCTAACTCCTGTCTGTTCCTTCTACAGAAGAAGCTTCACAACCCTGCCCGAATGGGAAGTGTTCTTTAATCCTGGATTGCAGTGGATTGACCTTTTTTGACTATTCTGGAGTCTCCATGCTTGTTGAGGTATTTAACACAGCTTGCGTTTGGATTGATTCCTTCTCTTCTCTTCAGGAACGGGGTTTCCACCGGCCACTCTCTCAGCTCTGCAGTCTTGACCCTGCTTGTTTCAGTACCTATCTCACCCATTCTCTCCACAGGACATAGTATGCCTCCCACGACTGTAGATTTCTTTTCAGGAGATCGCATCGAGCTTCTAAGTGTGTGTATGTATGGGGGCCAGGGGTGGGGGTATTCACATAGGGTAGTAGAAAGAATGGAATATGGACTTGAGATGTAGTATGCATAGCACATTCTGGGCAGTCAGCTTACAGACTTCTAGAAAGGAGAAACGTCCCCTCCATGAGCAAGTGGCCTTGGTGATGGCAGGATATTCTTTCTCACATCCTGGCTGGGTACAGTTTGACCTGATACCATTCCTGTCTAAAATAGTGCCCAGTGCAGGGGCTTTTCTCCATTCTCTCCAAGGATGGTGCTTATTGCTCTACCCCATGGTCTCCATGGAGTCTAGATCCTGGGGTGTAAAAAATAAAACAGAGTTTTATTTCTTTAAGACTGACATAAGTCACAAGTCCCCACTTCCATGGATGGAAGAACACCTAGTTTTGTCAATTCAAGGAAAACTCAGACACTTTTGAAATTTTTTCCTCCTTTTTTTTTTTTTTGAGTAAATACTAAGTCAACAATGCATGTACCCCCTTTCTTATTTCCATGTTTTCTCCCCTCAATATGGGGGGAGGGTCTTGAGGATTGGACAATGTCTGTTCTTCAACTGTACTCAATCCTCCACCAGCTTCTGTGTGTGAGCTCAGCTCACCTTGCCTTTGGGTGTTTGCTCCCCAGGGGTCCTCTTACCCTGGCCTCATGCAGTCTCCCTCTATGTGTGGCTTTGTCTTCAGCCAAAAACTCAATCAGAACCTGTGAAAATTTCTGAAGCTCTTTCTCTGCATATGTCTCTCCTTTCTATTACTCTCTGCCACAAATTTCACCCAGTCAATCCTTCGTGAACTCTAGTTCTGTCATTGAAGCCGCTGTGCTTTGCTTGGGTCCCACCTCATCACACCGGGGGGCCCAGAAACTGCTTTGCAGCAGAAAGCTGAGATGGTCAGAGCTCTGGCCTCGTTCATTCTGTCGATGCAAAATAACCGACAACCATTCTACAGGTAAGAGAAATAAGGGGAGTTTACCTGAGCCAGAGCGGGGATTATAACCCGGGAAGGGCTTAGAAAGTGTCCTGGAGAAGCATGGTTTTCAGTACAGTCTTACATCTTTTTAGAACAAAGAACATGCATTAAACACACCCAGGATACATTTTTATCAAGATTTCAAAGAGGTATTCAATTACAAATTAGCAGGTCAACGTGACTGTGATGCCAGGGAAGGGACTGATCTGGGTGTTACCAGTAGGGGTAGGAGGGGAAGTGTGCATTCTTATCTTAAGAGAGTGCATTCTTTACTTTAATGGTTAAGCAGATGTACAAAGTATGTTTGATAGGCCATAGTCAGGCTTTTTAGTTCAAGCCAATCAGTTTTGTACCTGACCAGTTACCCCATATACCTCAGTATGTGAGAATCTCTTGTCAGTTCTCTTGCTCTAGGGGACCCAGTCCTGTGCTGCCTGTTCTCATTGTCTGAAAACAGTTGTTTGTATATTTTTTTCTGGTTGTAGGTTGTCTACTTATTTATGGAGGATGGGATAGTCTTGTATTAGTTAATCATCGTGTCTAGAAGTCAAAATCAGACTTTGACTTTTAAAAAGTTAAGATCAGTAGTCTTTAAATTGTCTCACAGTGTGGATTTTGATTGTTTTCTTGTGGTGTATAACTGTGTCTCTATTCATTTACATTTTAACTTTGAAATGTCCAACCTTTCACGGTGAAGGGAGTACAAAGGTCGGCTTTAGCGGGGCTTTCCTGTGGGGGTGAGGGAGGAGGGTGCGTGCGGAGACGAAGCCACTCAGCGTGTGGCGGGCCACCTTCCGAAGAGCACTCTTCAGTGACACCAGCTGTGAGGCGTTGGGAAATCATCTAACCTGGTGGGATCTCAGTTTATTCATGTTGTAAAAATGAGGGGGTGATTTTGTTTCAGAATTAGCAGGTATTCAGAAAAAAATTTATGCAAAACAACTGAATTTTAAATATCGTAGGCCTTAAATTTAGTGGCTGTTTTTGGTAAGTCATCCTTTTCCCTGTGTAATATGATTTTATTTTCTTGTTCACTATAAAAACTTTCACAATGTGGCATAGGGTTCAACCTACATACTCTGCTTGCGTCTAAATCTGGACTGTTAACAAATAAACCCTGTTCGCTGGAGAGCTTCTTGTGTTCAGCATTTCTATTTACTCTGTGTTTCCAAGGTCTGGAAGAGTGTTCTTAAACTTGGTGCATAAGGATCATCTGGGGTGCTCATTTAAAATGCAGTCTTGGGGCCAGGCTGGTGGCATAGTGGTTAAATTTGCAAACTCCACTTCTGCAGCCTGGGGTTCGCAGGTTCAATTCCAGGTGCAGACCTACACATCACTTGTTAAGCCATGCTTCGGCAGGATTCCCACATAAAATAGAGGAAGATTGGGACAGGTGTTAGCTCAGGGCCCACCTTCCTCAGCAAAAAGAGGAGGATTGGCAACAGATGTTAGCTCAGGGCTAATCTTCCTCACCAAAAATAAATAAATAAATAAAAATAAAATCAAATAAAATGCAGTCTTATGGGTCCCGGTACTGGCCCAGGAATCTTCCTTTTAAACAACCATAGGTGATTCTGAAGCATGCAGTCCGAGGATCATATTTTGAGAAACACTAGATTAGGATTGTCCTTTTATTGGGAAAAGCCAGTATGTATATTTTTTGTTTAATTGTATCTTAAATTTATTTCTGAATATGCTCTAATATTTATTAGCTGCTGTCTCTAGATATTGCAGATCAGGACTTAGAGTTAGTAAAAGAGGAGAAAATTGTTAACTTTTCCCACTGAGTTTAGGATCTAAGGTTGAAAATTCAGAGGAATCCAAATAATCCAGGTACTGGGCATGTTGAGAAAGAGCTTTTTCTCATTCATCTTAATGGTTTTAAAATACTACACAATAGAAGGATGAAATAAATCAACCGATGCATTTTATTTTTAAATTGGCAGAGAATGACATTTGCCCTTGGCCTGGTGTTTTTCATCTGTATATACAAAACCAGCCGTTTTGTGTCAGTTTTCCTTTTTAATTTCTATTTGGTTTATTTCATCATGGTTACAGTAAATTATGATGTATGTTAAGAACATAGGCTTTAAGGATGGGTAACCCCGGGTCCAAATATTAGCCATAAAGTCTAGTTCTGTGATCTGGGCTTAAGTATTTGTTTGCTTTTTCTGTAAACTGAGAGTAAAAATACCCACTTCATCAAGTTGTTGTGAAGCTTAGAAGTGACGTATTACATATAAAGCACATGAAGTGTCTAGAAATTAGTAAGTACTCAATAATGCTAGCTTCTATTATTTGTTCTTATTTTGCAAAAGTCATTTCTTAAAACGCAAATAATATCATTGCAACTGATACTATTTCTTAGTTCCAGCCACCCTGAAAGAGGTTCCAGAATAAAGACCCACGGAGTCTCTTCAGCCATGCATGTCTTCCTGCTTTCTAATAACACTCTCTGGATTATTTTCTTAATCACTTTAGTATGAGACATTCTCCTAGGAGTTATAGGTTGAAGGAAATGGAGTGACTTCTGTTTATTCTTCTACTTAGGACACTGGAAAGGTCAGTGAACTGGAGATTATGTTTATCAGCATCAACAAACCACCTGTAGCAATGTGTTTGTGCTTCACTGAGCTTAAGAAAAAGTCAAACACTAAAAGGTCACCTTGAAATAATCGTAACTTACAAGAAAGGAGCCATTTATTCAATGGCAAAGTCTCAGTCCATGTATTATTTGTTGGTTTGCTTGTTTGTTTATGCTCAAAGTGATACCTCGCCTATTATTCCACAAGTCTTCTAACATGAAGAGCATTGCTTACTGCTGGAAGAATATAAGGGAAATTTTTGGATATATCATGTATCCTCTTAGAATGTGTTGTAAATGCTGCTTTCTACATAATATGTGTAATATACAACACTATTATATAACCAAATCCATTCTACTGTCACTAAAACTTCCAGATTTACTTTCACTGAGGTTCATGGTCTGACTTTGGTCTGGGTGAATTTAAGATCAGGGCCTTCAGTAAGTTGTTCCTACTTGAGCTTTTCTAGGACTTAAACAAGGCAAGACCCTAAAGTATGCCAAGCAAATTAGTTAGGATCTCTCATCTTGATGGACCTTTAAAAATGGAAGCTGGGCAATAAAACTTTGCTTTGATTATAGTGAGGTTCTCCATGGATGGGATTTAGAGAGACCATGAAGATGCAGAAATTGTTGTAAAATATTAAAGTAAGCAGTAGGTCTGCATAGAAGGCAAACACCCTGCTGCATTCCTCTTACTTTGCTAAGACAGCCTCTTTTAGGAGTGTGCCAGGGTATGCCCGACTGTGTGACAATGCCTCCCTCTGGTGGTCTGACAATCAGAAACATTGGCTTTTTTTTACTAGAAATTCTCCTTTCTTCTGAAGCCTATCTTATTCCTTCCTGACAGCTATCCTTAATTAATTGTGGGTATGCTATTTTAATCCTTCCAGGTTTACATGGACTGTAAGAGCCAGAGTGTGGATGTATCATTAGCCCATTGCACAGGTGAGGAAGAAGAGTGTCTGGCTAACCTTGACAGTCATCCTTCTGCTGCTCCGTGTGTCCTTATATCACTGGTGCTTTCTTGTAGCTTCCTTGATAAAAGCAATGAAGTACCGTGGAAACCTAGACTCAGAGAAACCAGTTTTTTTTGAATCAATATCTGCTGCAATAAGTAACATCCATTCAAATAAGGTGAGTTGAGCAAGTGGCATGCAGGAGTTACAAGAAAAATTAGAATCAGGGCTTTGCATTTCTCATACTGGCCTATTACCCTGGTGGCATCTAAAATCTATTAAAATGTCCCCCCTCCTCAGAATCCTCTGCTACAAGTAAAGGAATGTTTCCATTCCTTTTTTGGACCAGTTAATGAACATTGTTTACTAATTTGGATCCTCCAACAATGTCATTGCTTAGAGGATTTGGTGATCACCTGTTAAGTGCAAACCTCCTGCTTGTAAAATAAATGCTTCTTCCAGGGTCCGCTATCCAGGGGATTTGAATCCACCTCTGTCGAATGCAAAAACTCTAAATGTGGACTTATAGCTTCTTTCTGCTCTGATACCCTTGACTCTAAGATATATTGCCATCTTTGGAATTACTATTTGCAGAGCCCAGCACTCACATGATCTGAAGTGTCAAAGTTATCTTCCAATACTGGGCTTCATGGTTCATTTTAGAACTGTTCCTAGAGCTTTGATTTCCTGCAATTTTTCTTTGGTTTTGAATCATTTTGCCTTTCCTCATCCCTAGAACAGCATGTGGTGCCTCCCCGAGTGATCCCTATTATATTTGATCAGAACAGTATGTATTTACAAAATAATAGTAACACTGCTACTATTACTACTATTATTGCTTCTGTATACCTAACATGTATTAAGTGCTCATTATGTTCCAAGAATACACTAAGAGCTTTACCTATATTAATTCACAAAATTTGCACAACCTTATGAGGAAGATACTATTATTTAACCTATTGTTAGAAATGAGGACACTAAGGCCCAGGGAAGTTATACCATTTGTAAGTGATAGAGCTAGTTGCAAAGTCAGGAGTCTGACCTTGAACTTTGAGCTGTAGACTGCTATGCTCTCGTGCCTCATAGAATGCCCGTTTTCTTAGCTTGACTGGGCTTGCTTCAGCTACTGCTCTTCTTTGACTGTGGACCGATGTAAGGGTGGAGTCAGTGGCGTGTGCGTGTTTATTCCTCTTCTGTTTCAGAATCGGGGCAAACTCAGTGACCACAGTGAAGTCTGAGAGCCTCTTGCGGCAGCACAGCTCTTGTCTTGAGCATCCGCCCTGAGGAAGCCACTCTCCAGCATTTTGCACACCCTTTTTAGATCCTACAGATGACCTCCACCACAAGTGTGATGTGACTTAGCAACCACCTAGCCACTGGTCAAGATTTGTCAACAAGTTTTTCTAATCTTTGTTAGTAAGCAGATTCACTTAGCAGGTTATTATATAGTTGTTTTATAAAAATCAGTATGCATGTAGTTTTAGTGTACTGAAAGGTAAAAATGAATTTATTTCTCTTTACTACAGGATTTTGTGTTGTTTTACTTCTACTTTGTTGTAACTTAATTTGTAAAACTGAGAAAGACTTTGTTATAAGATATTTGGAACATTTGCAAACCATTTGTAAAAATCCAGGGTCATCTATAACTAATACATAAAGACAACTTAGCACACGTGGCATCTTCCTCTACCAAAAAAGCCGTTAAACATCAATAAGGTTACATGTTACTTTGTACAATATGACATGAAATTCACAGAAGATAAGTCAAACAAAAACAAAGACAAACTAGAAACGCTTGTTCTCCATACATTTCCACACATGAAAACCTTCAGGAATATTTTCAAGACAACTGGTATCCCAGTGAAACCAAGTTCTTGATGTTGCTCTCTTTTGCTGTGAATATTGGAAATGCTTGGGATCTTCAGACCTGATAGCCCTAATTTCCATGTTGCATGTAAAAGTCTCTGTTTTCAGCTTAAGTTTTCTTGGAGCCAAAGAATGTGAATGTTTCACATTTTATATTTTTTCAAAAATATGATTTTTAAATGAGAAAATACCAGCAGTAGAATGGCTTTTTGCCATATAAGATTGACTATAATAGTTTGAGACTTTTCTACTTCAGAGAGACAGTCAATATAATACTACATTTTCTCTCTCTCTATCTGTATAGGTAGATAGATGGATCTCCATAGTATGTTTTTCTTTTTCTTTCATTAGAGGAGAGCTTGGATATGTGATTATCTGTAAACCCACCAAACCAGCAGGGCAATTGACAAACACCACAGGTGAGGCTGGCCTGTATAAGTTATTATTTTCATGCTTGTACATATATTTTCAATCACATACAATTACACAGTTTCATATTTTTATCTAGCAATTTGATTCACTTAAGAAATCTCACTTTCAAAGATAGGTGTAGATACATAATTATGTTTAAGTTTTAAGGTGTTTAAGTGTCCTAGAAATTACCAGTGTAACAAAAAGCCAAGTACTTTAAAGTGAGTTTGAGTAGTAGGTTGAAAAAAAATTAAAAGACTGACAGTTTAGGTGTTTCTGTGGACATCTGTAAGAATAAATTCTAGTGCCTACCAATGATGTAACAGTGCCTAGCAAATGTACGGTAAACATTCATTTGGCTCTTTTTTCTTTTTTTTTGTTTTTTGTGAGGAAGATCGGCCGTGAGCTAACATCTACCAATCTTCCTCTTTTTGCTGAGGAAGACTGCCCCTGGGCTAACATCCGTGCCCATCCTCCTCCACTTTATGTGGGACGCCACCACAGCACGGCTTGCCAAGCGGTGTGTGGCTGCGTGCCCAGGATCCGAACTGGCAAACCCTGGGCCACCGCAGCGGAGTGCACGCACTTAACCGCTTGCGCCCTCATTTGGCTCTTAATTTTAACAGTAGGTCCTAGGTAGGACCATGTAATAAAATGAAAGCAAAATAATAAATGTTTCAAATTCTCATAACTCAGCCACTTCAATTTTATTTGACATGAACAACAAAGAATAATCTTTGTCCTACGGGTAGCCTCAATCCCTTCATCACTCACTGGGCTTGAAGTGGCGAGGTCAACTGTCATTCCCATCAAATGCTGTTCCAAGAAAAGGTGGAGGTAATAATTGGAGGTAAAATTTCCTTAGGGAAAGGAATTTCACTCTGCTTTGTCCAATTAAATTATTCCCATGGTGGATGGTGGTAACATTCATCATCTCTAATCCATTGGTCATTGGCACATAAACGTGAGTTGAAAAAAGAAAATATATTTTGCGATGTATAAATTGATATTTTTCTATGAGACTTTGGCCTGTAATTAAATTCATGCACTGCAGGCATTTTCTAATTTGTTAGAGATTATGGAACATAGATGGCATTAAAATCATTGTAGTTAATCTATGGATGCTTTGTTCTATTTTATTGTTAAAGCCGACACAGTATTGTCCGAGCAGATGTATTCGGTGCATTTCAGTGTTTATAGTAGAAGTTTAATGGATGAAACTTAAAAGCCAACAACTTTGGTGTCAAATGTTAATATTAGTTTCAAAGTAAAGTAAGACCAACACATCACCATATATAGCCCTTTGTTCTAATGCTTATCCTGCGTATCAAGGTCATAATGACTGTCGACCTGGAGGAACTCCCTGAAATTGAGTTCTGGGAGCCCAGTAGTTTAATATGAGTTATAAACACACAAGATTCTAAAATATAAATGTTTATTTCAAAGTAGGCATTAACAACACAAGAACTATAATATGATCCTGATGCTAGAATGTTTCTAGTCATGCTGAATTATTTTTATGACATCACCTTATTTTTGTATATGATAAACTACTTCCATATTACTTATTATGGCAAAATAAAATTGGAAAAAATTAAAATTAACCTATAAGAGTGTTAAGGACCTAATAGAGTGACATATATAAATTAACGATAAAATATGTAACCAGGAAAAGACTGTTAACATTACATTTATGCAAATTAAATGCCGTTAAATTTTACCATTTGTCTTTCATTTTAAAGGTTATTTACCCCCGATTATATGATTCAAGTGTTATAAGGTCTAACTTGAACTACTTTGCAGTAATTTATTTGACAGATCTCTATTTCTATAAATGTGTAATGTAATGAGGAAAGAGATCTTTCTCTTTTAGTGAAAACATTAATGTGTTAATACTCCTGTATGGGTAATGTTTGACATTTAGTGGTTACCAAAATATATCAAAATGTTGTTGAACATACATGTGCCTCAGAAATGCATGTTCTGTTTTCTTGTGGCTGATGATCTAATTCAATATAGAATATGCTTTTTGGCAATGAATTTGTTGCCAGATTTCAAATAGGGAGTTAAGTGCTGCTTTCACAATCCAGAGATTTTAGTTGAACATCATGTAGTCTAATATGCTGCACCTATTTTTTTTTATATTTTTCATTTAATTATCTTTTTAATAATTCTCTGTACTAACTCAGCATGTAACAACAAATTTACGTAGAAATAAATTGAAATATGATAACTGTTATGCTTAAATGGATTTGTGTCTATTATTTCAAAGTATTTACTTTCTTGCAAAGCAAATAATATATATTGCTTTCGGAGTCTTCTGTGACCACCGAGTCTTCTGTGTTGAAAATTCCTGGAAGTATCCATTATTCTTGGTAATTTGTTCTTACCACATTTCAACTAGGATTGTGAGATATTGTACCTTAATTTATGGAAGGCTGATAAGGGCACTTTTTACTGCAAGAGTACCTTTACACAATCCTTTTTCACCGGGTTTACATCCTTTTTGTTCTAATTTTAATTAATGTGTATATTTTAATTTCTTATTTGTTTGGGTTCTTCATTTATATGCTGTTGTTTGTCTTTCCTGAGTTTCTAGTCCAAGTTCGATATTCTTCAGCGTTTGAAAGGTTACTGCTCCAAGGACAAGAACTCTTCTAGGAGTGGAAATACAGCAGTGAATAAAACAGGAAAAACATCCCTGCCCTCATGGAGCTGACATTCTAACAAGGGAAAACAGAAAGTAAATGGGATAAAATTTAAGATATGTTTATTATAAGTTAAATGATAATATGTGCTAAGAATAAATCAAGGAAAGAGGACAGGAAGTATGGCAGAAAGTGGGTATGACGTCCCTAGATAGGGTGGTGGGAACAGTGACTAATGGGAATGTCTTAGTCAGCTCAGGGTACTGTAACAAAATACCACATTCTGGGGGCTTAAACAATAGACATTTATTTCTCAAAGTTGCATGGGCTGGGAAGTCAAAGATCAACATGCCAGCTGACTCAGTTTCTGGTGAGGGCTCTCTTCCTGGCTTGTAGACAGCTACCTTCTTACAGTGTCCTCACATGGTAGAGAGAGAGAGAGTGCTCTTGGGTGTCTCTTCTGTAAGTATGCTGATCCTATTGGCTTAGGACCTCACCCTTATGACCTTATTTAACCTTAATTACCTCCCTATATACTCTGTCTCCAAATACAGTCACGTTGTGGGGAAGAGCTTCAACATATGAATTTTGGGTGGACAAAATTCAGTCCATAGCAGGGAGTTATAAATTTTCTATACATTTTAAAACTTTGCTTTTTATGTCTAAAGAATAGGCTTAATAGAATTTCATTTATGTTTAACATCACGCGAATTTTTACATCCAAAACATAATAAATAATCATGAATTGTGTGGTTAAAGCATTCCGATGCTAGAGACAGTAGGTTAGCTTAGACATTACTAGCTATAATTGGCTACTCAGATGAGATTCTGGCCATGAAACAGAGTGAGGTGGTCAGGAATGGGTTTGCAATATGCCATAGGCTATTTGGAAACTAAGACGTATTATATTCTGATGATGGTTCCTAATTATTAGCCTTCCGATTAAAGAAAATAGAATTGAATTAGTTTTACTTTAGCTATGATATTATTTTAAGGAAAATAACAACAGAGACATGCTTAATTCTATCAGTTGTCACAGAGATGTGCAGAATAGTCCTGATGCTAACTGCAGTGAGAGCTTTCCACTTTGTTTTTTACTTTCTTTGTTTTTGTTTTTTAAGGAGGAAAGAATACTAGGGTGTACAAATTAGCTAAATGCTCTGAAATGATCTCTTTACATAAAAATCCTCACTCATTTACTGTTGATTTAGCAATAGGGAGGTCATTTTGGTTAAACTTAACTCCTTTTTGTCCTAAATAATAAAGACAACTCTCTCTAGTAAGTGTAGGAAGCTTTTTAGTATTTTTTTTCCTATTTGGAGCCTCTTGTTCTTATGGCCATATTTAAAAATTGGCTAATTAGTAAGTCCATTAAGAATCTATAATTAATAAGAACAAACTTTACATTAAAAATGCTTCAATAGGGCCGGCCCTGTGGCTTAGCGGTTAAGTGTGCGTGCTCCGCTGCTGGCGGCCCTGGTTTGGATCCTGGGCGCGCACCAACGCGCCGCTTCTCTGGCCATGCTGAGGCCGCGTCCCACATGCAGCAGCTGCAAGGATGTGC